CCCTACAATGAGCTTACTGTGCTTTTAGAACATTTTTCATTGAGGATATTAAACCATATAATCCAAGAGCTCAAAAGTGAGTCTCTGGGGCCACCTGCTTATTCACACCGAGCCAGAGCAAACGGGCACTGTTTCCAAGGGACCTCTGCCATCAGAGCTTCTGCTGCTGGAGCTGGCGCGGCTGTTCCTTTACAACCAGCTCTTTGCGGTGCTTCTTCACTGGCAGTGATTTTCTTTCTTTTGGTCCCAGTGGAATCATTTTGAAATGAACTAACTTCCGCATTAACCGCAAGCAGGCCTCTCTCTATCCCCACCAAGGACGGGTTAAACTCACCCGGAGATGTTTTAGCGCCACACACGCAGCTTCCTGGAGTTTTGCATCGTTCTCGGTCAGGGCGTTGGTGTAGCAGAGCAAAGCCTAGGAAATGAGGTTGCTGTGAACGGGGGGCTGGTGAGAGCAAAGTCCACGGTGCCCAGGGCTCATCCCCTGAATGCTGACAGCATGTGTGCACAGTGTCGAGTTGTAGGCTACGGCATTCAATTTATCTAAAAACGCTGGTCCCTGGGCTGAGGGTCATGACATAAGAAAACTCTTTTTCTATAGTACTGTTTACAAAATGCGTTCCAAAACTGCCATCTAGATAAAATGCTGAATCAGAGGGCTTCCCTGGTGGCGCAGTGGTTGAGAGTCCGCCTGCCGATGCAGGGGACGCGGGTTCGTGCCCCGTTCCGGGAGGATCCCACATGCTGCGGAGCGGCTGGGCCCGTGAGCCATGGCCGCTGAGCCTGCGCATCCGGAGCCCGTGCTCCGCAACGGGAGAAGCCGCAACAGTGAGAGGCCCGCATATCGCAAAAGAAAAAAAAAAAAAGCTGAATCAGAGAAACCCGCTGTCCAGCGGGGACAGCAGCAGAAGTGAACACACAGAGGGAGCCTTGGCGAGGCTGCTGCCTTGGCCAGAAGGAAAAGCGTCTCTGCCCTTCCTCAGTCTTCTCCAGTCACAGCTCTGATCCCGCCCTGTCAGTCACATGACCATGGCCAAGTCGGTTCAGCTGGAAAAGAGAGCTGGCAATTGCTTTGCAAAATTGTTGTAAGGGCTGTTAAGCACGGGAGGGGGGGCCAGTGGGGATGTGCCTGGCGCTTGGGTGAGCCCAAGACCAAGGCCCCAGTATTGCCCTTCTCCCACCACGGGGGCTGGTACCCGAAATCTAGAAGAGTCACAGGTGTTCAGGAACCTAAAAGGCAGAGGGGTCCAATCTCTTGGTTTTCAAGTGAACCGAGCACAACGAAATAGCCACACACATTAGTTGAAAGTAAATGAGGGTGACTGTCAGAATTCTAAGAGACATTCTACGTGCAGGTGACATCTCAGAGACGGAATAGATAAGGTGCTTTAGAAACACTGAGC